ACAACGAGTATTTTTATTCCGATCTCTGGGGTCGAAGATATAGTATCTTTTGATTTCTGATTATTTCTAAAAATTAAAAAAAAAAAATAAACGAAAAGGTGTTTAATAGAAATGAGGAGATAATTAATGCGGTTAATGTTAAACTGGATAAGCTTGAAAAGCTTTTGAAGATTGTTAACTGTTTTAAGAGGTAGATATATAGGTTTAAGAAATGCATTGAAATCAATGGATATTATGTAGAGAAGATAAAAACGGACAAAGGTTACCAATAAATACCAAAATAATTTTTCTTTTTTTTCTGGTCAACTTACCGAACTTATGTTAATTCCCTCGTGAGATGAGATTACATTCATCGATACATATGTATGTACGTGGACAGCAATAAGCAATGAAGAACCAGCGCGGACTTCATAGAGGTTTGCAAAGTGTCTTCAATAATTAGCTAACTATAACTAGAAATTAGGCTCACTTTAAAATTGCTGAAAAATCAAGTTATTAAAGTAAACTTAGAATCAAATAAAGCTTTCATGGACCACTTACTTTTGTATTTCAAAGGCTGCATTGAAACGATAAATTTCACGTTCAACAAAAAATTTCTATCGATTTGGTTGAACCATTTGGAAAACAGTTATGGATTTAGATTCCATATCGTCGAAACCAAATGCTGCCGTCAATGTTAAGTCGTTAACAGATAATGTTAAGTCGTTAACAGATAATGTTAAATCGTTAACAGATAATGTTAATCGTGTAAATTTAAATGTGCTTTTAATGGCAAGAGCAAGCAACCATTTTAAAATTAAGGTTAACGACAAGTTTATGCGGTTGCCACGTTAACAATCTGGTTTCTGGTTCCCATTATTTTTTGTATAAATATTTACATACGAGTATGTATATGTGGTTATACAAATATTTATTGAAAAGGGTAAGCAGTTGCATTACTCACCACACCGCTAACTGTCAAAATAGTAAATAAACTATTTAAATTGTGGCGGCAATCAAATTGAAAAATTGCATATGACAAATTCATACAGAAAGGACAGAAGCCACGTGGCGGACACGTCTCCCTCAATTTTTTCATTTATTAATGTATTTATCAGTTTTTTCATTATTGAATGCAGTTTTCATTGCTATAAATGGATATATGTATGTACATATAGTGGCTCAATAAAGAACTCAAACATACATTCCACAGTTATTAACATGCAACTTCAAGCTAGATTTTTTTTTAACCAATTGATATTAAGCATTTTTGTTTTTTAAATTACTATAGGGTATCCAATAAGGATTCAAAAAATACCAATAACAGACAAATTAAATAGTTTATAGGCCTCCCTTGCCCTGCCTTCAGAAAATTAACATGTGGCCTGCTTGAAATTTGGCCCAAAAAAGAAATCGGACATCTGGTAATATTACAGTTCCATGGCATTTTAAAAAAGATAATCCCACAATTAGTTTGTTTTCGTTTAAAAATTCATATGTATATAATCAAACGTAATAGCTTAGATTAAAATTTCAATAGTTTTTGTTTTGGAAGAAAAGGTCAAAAGTTCAAACTTGGGTAGACAGCAAAATGCCATGGGGATAGGGATTTTCAATTCTGGAAACAAATTTTTTTTTACAGATGAAAGCAAATTCAATATATTTAGGTCTTATGTTTGGAAAAAACCGCTAGAAAACTGCTAGAAAAGAATTTACGTCCGACTGTTAAACACGGGGGCGGTTCAGTAATGGTATGGGGTTGTATGCCCGCAACTGGTACTGGAAATTTGTGTTTCATAAATTGTAATATGAACCACAAGCAATATCTGACCATTTTAAAAAAAAATTTAGTGCAAAGTGCGGAAAAGTTGGGAATTAAAGACAATTTCCAGTACTACCAAGAAAACGATCCCAAGCATAAAGCACTTGATGTTCGTCTATGGCTGATGTATAACTGTCCTAACGTGCTTGAAACACCTCCTCAATCTCCCGTCATTTACGTAATTGAACATCTGTGTGCTCATTTGGATAATAAACTGAAAATGCATGTTATTAGATATGTTATTAGAAATACCTAGAAGCCGCTATTTTGGAAGAGTGAGGGAAAATAAATTCTTTAACATGCAAGAAACTAATAATATATGTTCAACAGAAAGCCCACGATTTGCATTTTATTATATATTTTTTTGTTTGAAGACATATAACTTTTGTGTCCGAGTTCATTTTTGAGCCACTGTATGTATACAGTATACGTTGCATGTATGTGCATATGTGCATACATATGTATGTTTGCAAAACCTTATTTTATTTAAATATTTGCCAAGGCAGCCTTCGAAAAGAATTAACTGCTGCCTATCAAGGCATGGAAGGATGGTTATATCAGTGCCTTTCTCGAAACCGATTACGATCGTATTCGTGAATGAGTCCAATCGGAATTGTTTCATCATTATCTAAAATGCTATCGGCTTTAATCAATCGAAATCTTTACATTAGACGTCTAAGTCGAGGTTCGAAAAGCGATTACCTCCTTAAAGAGCTATTCAAGAATGGTGCATGCATAGCTTCTTTGCAGAATATGGTCGAACAAAAGTATGCCCGAAAATTGAAATCGTGTGCTCGCCCGATCCATAAAATATGGGACCCTAAGGTCAGTGCCAATTACAGTGGGATTAGCCTGCTAAACAGGTCATATAAAGTCCTAGCGGCGTATTGTGTGAATGGCTAAAGCTCAGCGTCAACAAACTAATTGTACCTTATCAATATGGCTGATTAATCCACCATTGATCAGATATACACCGAGCGCCAAATTTTGGAAAAGGAATATGAGAAAAGAATGTTGAATGCCTTCAACAGAAGAGTAAGGAACTAAAACCTGCGGGTAAGGGGCTCAATAATAAAAAAGGCGACTAAAATCCAATAGTCCCCGCAACAGTCGGGTCTTCATGTGGGAACGACCGGAATTTTTATCCGGCCAAGTACTGTCTCTCCCGCTATTCGGGGAATATTTTGTGGTTACAACAACAACAACAATGGTAAGGAACTGCTTTTATATTTGATATTCAAGCAAAACTTATACGACTGTGTAAACCTACACCAAAAGCGTCGTTCGGTATCAAACCAAAAACATCCAAAAGGGCCGTGCATTTCAAAGCTTCAAGATGGTGTTTAAGAAATGGAATGAGTTATTGGTAACACCTCATCAATTTTAGTAGTTAGTAATAATTTAAGCTCCAAGCATCTCTCTACGACTATGGAGTTTAGGCATATTAATTAACAGTAAACGATTTTTGTTAGAATAAAAATTCTTATTCGCAACCCATCGTAAATCTCTTTACGGTATTAGAAGTGATTACTTTTATACATATTCGAATTTAACACTATACGAGTAAAAAGATTTCACAGCGCGGGTTCCATACAACTGAACCATACTCTAAGTAAACGTTTTATGACAGCTAAGAGCCTTATTAGGTTCCATTGTAGTTCGTTCCATTGTAGTCAGTAAAATATTGAGAAGATTTCAAGTTGCCGAAGTTCTCTATCTTACAAAGAACGAACTGATTTAAATAGCTTGGCATCATCTGGGTACATAAGTGGTTTCGATTGAAGAACCACATTAGGAAGGTCATTTATGAATATTAGTTAGAGTACTGTTATTCCACGTGATAAGCAATTTTTAAAAATTAACCTTTGTTTTCTACCGATCAATTGCCATGAAGTCCCCTTGAGAATGAAATGTGGAAACCCAAAATAGTCGAATTTAAAGTAATGTATAGAATCAGAGGCCTCGTCAAATGCTTTGCCGAAGTCAACGTATCATATCAATTGCTTGCATCAGGATTTGAAGCGAATCCGAATGACAGAGTGTAATGCTAACCCTCCCGCCTACCGCGGCCGCCATCTGCTATAGAAGCTTCTAAAATTTTGTGTATGGAACATAACTTCGCAGTCTCCCGATAATTCATTATAGAAGATCTACTACCAGATTTATGAAGAGGTAAAATATATGGCCCTTTGGAATAGTACCTATCAAGTACATTTGGGTGACCCTAATGACAAAACAAATTCGCCTCGAAATAGTTACCTGATTTCTCTGAGAGAACTTCGCAATGATAGATCGGTTAATTTTAGTTTTACGGTACTGCCATTTCTTAAGTTAGCTCCAGTGTTCTATAATAGTTCAGTAAAAAGTTACATTTATACACCGATTTAATTTGAAATCCAAGCACGCAAAAATTGATTTGGGGAATATTTATGTAATTGTAACACAACCAATCACTTTTAATTATATTTATAATAATTTTGCTTTGGACTACACAAATATCCATTAGTTAACCGTACCGTACCGTAAAAATAAAAAATGTATATGTATTTAAGATATTTTGCTGTTTTTATTATTGTGAATATAAAGTCTTCTTCTCGTTAAGCTCATCAGCGTAGCAGCAATATTTGACAGTTGGCTTCTTGGGGTATTTAGCATTGGTTGGAAAAAGACAAATACTCATTTGTTGTTTTTATGCAACAGTGGTTTCTTGCTTTCACTTGTTGTCGCTTCCCAGAGATGCAACTTGGAACTAAGATACGAAAAAAGTAATAACAAAATTATTTTAATTTTGTACTTATATGTTCATATAAATGGAAAAATGCTTTTAATATTACACTAAAATTCTCAAATTGAACCTACAACGAAAGCTGTTGGTAAAGTTACTATGAGTGTAGCCAGACATAAATTATAGCGCAGCTCTTTTGCTCCTTTCCTGATTTCACTGTGAACAGGGTTGCCCGGCTAGATTGCTTTTCATTCAGCGGATTAAAAAGGCAGTTCTTGTTGTCGTCTCCCTTTTTGTCTGCTCATTCGCCGTTGGTCGTCGCTCGACGTATAGAAAAAATCTAACGAAAATTTATGAACTTGCAGTAAAATTCAGTAAATTGAAAACAATAAATAGTAAAAACATAAGAAATTGATTGATTGACGTCTGAAAACGGTAAAGGTGCTTTTAGTTTGTTATAAAATATGTGTAAACCAATTTGTTGAAAAAATTTGCACAGCGGCTAGGAAGTGTGTGCGTGAAAGAAGAAGAAGCGAACGGAAGAATAAAGGCAAAGGCTCGGCATGAAAAAATTTTCAAGAAAATTCGGGCAAAAATTTGCATAGATTTTTGTGTAAAAAGCAAAGAATTAATTATATGGTGGTAAATTTTTTGACGTGAATTGTGGGTGCTGGTATTGCGAAATATGCAAAACCATACCGCAACGGTTTAGTTTTTTTTTTTTTTTTTAATTCGAAACCGAATGCTAGGGCTCCGCTGCTCATTTGTCAGCGGTTGCTGCGGCGGTGACGTTTTCGGCTGCGACTGAGGGTGTTGGCAGCGACGTTGACGTTGTTGCCTCTATGAAAGGAGAAAAAATATTTCTGTCTATTGTAGGCAAAGAAGTGCATGTTTATGCTATCAACATGATTGATTAAGAAATTAAATTAAATGAAAGCAAAATAATATTATATTAAGTGTTAAAATAGAAATATGGAAACATTTAACATTTTGTACTTTCCATGCAGAACATTTCTGTATTACCACATTAACCTTAACCATTTTCTGTTGTCAATTTTTCTGCAGGAGCGGCAAGTAACGACAAGAACAAAAATAGTTACAGAAGGAAATAAAAAAAGCAAACTATAGCAGAAGAATCAGAATACATAAGTAAGGTTAAGAGGAAGAGAAGAGTATAAAAGCAGAAAATCGAAAGACTGAAGTAAGTTGTTTTAAGCCAAGAGGAGGTGCACTAATTCCTAGTGCCACTACAGCAAAATAGTAGGAGGACACATTCAGGGGAGAACCTACGCTTAACACTTCAATTTGCCTAAATTGGACTATTTATTTATACATCATTCATACCACATACCCGTTTCTTCATTCATCAAATTAATTTTTGGTAGAGATTTACAAATCGCATTGCATTGAAAATTGGAGAGTGATTAATACAGAAGCAAAATGGATGATTTAATGGTTGAAGTGAGGCTCGACAATGGCGCCTACTATAAGGTGAGTATAATTTAAATGTAAACATATTCCAACACTTTTTGTGAAACACAGGTACTTCTTCAGAGAAAAAGTGCATTAAGTTTAAAAAATTTAATAAACACTTTTATATGCATATTGATTGGCTTCTTGAATAAATGCTGCTAAAAGTTAATATGCAAAAGAATAGAATCGATGCTTTGTGCGGCGACAGCATTTGAAGTTGGTATTGTATGTCATCATCATCTTTGTTAATGACGATGCCATTAAAGTTTGCTTTTTACTGCATTTGTTTATAGATCTATTTTATATGCTAGTGCTCAAAACTTCTCGGTAATATATTTTTACAGCACCTACGATTACTAATACTACAGTAAAAGCCGGCCCATTTTGCTTTTGAAAACGATGATAACTGGTTATACCCGCCTCCTGCAATCATAAACTCCACACCTAACCGATTTTTATTTTAGTTTTTAGTAAGAAAATGTTGTGCGCCTTTCTGTCTACAATTTCGGCTAAATATCACCCACAATCACTAGGCAAACATACCTATGTTTGTATGTTCGTCTGCATTCAACATCCACAATGAGCCAGAAGAGCAATTGGAATTTGCACACATTTCTTTTATATCTTCTATATTTAAACATGATATACTCCCCATTTTCGTCTATTCCCACCCAACTATATACACGCATGGATTTTCATTTTTGTTATATCTTCCTAATTTTAACCATTTCCACATGCGTATGTAAGTATATCATCATCTATGCTGCCGTAGTAAGTTGTCGTTTCTGTCATTATAATCTACTAATTTGCCCATACTATTTCTTGCGTATTCGCTTTCTGTATCTACTTCGTATGTTTGATACACGGCTGGGGCTATAGATGGTGATGACAGTGGCGTTGACGCTGACTCTGACTCTGACTCTGCCGAGGATGAACACATATGCTCGGTCTGTTTTGGCGTTTTTGTAGTCTGCCGTCTGCTCGTAATTTGCGTAGAATTCTTTCATCAATTGTTTCTTCTTTATTTTCCTCTTCTCATCTATCTATATTCGTCGATTTTATCATTGTATCTGTTTTCGTCATAGCGAGTGTGAATCTAAAAATGTGCCGGCTGCGAATGCCGCACTGCTGTACGATTTCGGTAATGTTGTATCTGCTGCTGCCGCTGCTACTGCGCGGTTTTATTTTTTAATTCTTGCTTTCTGATTTTTCGTTCCATTGTAGTTTCTTGTTCGTACGTTTGTTGATACTTTTGTTTGCCAATGAGCTAAGCTATAACGAATGATGAAAAGCATTGTCTCACATGCAAATGTACCTACCTACATGTGCATGTGTGTTCTGTTCGGTTTGGAATCAAGCGCCAAAGCATACAAAAACAAATCATTTTTAAAGTGACGCTTTTTTCTCTCGTTGCTTTTGATGGATCACCGCAAATTCTCCCTGAAAGTTGGGGTTTCACCACTTTTGCCACTAATTGTTTTCTAATGTATGTATGTATGTATGTATAGGTATATTTCATATTACTATATTATGCACGTGTGGATGTGTAATCGTTTTAGTGATATAAATCACCAATTATAATATTTTTTATGTACATTTACATTTGTACATACAGATGTGTAATTTAATATTAAGTCAGAGAGAGAGAGTGAGAGAGAGAAAGAGAATATTACATATGCTCCGCTTAAAAGAAGATATTTTTGTTTACATTGCATTTTTGATATTTTAATGACAGAAAGACTTGCCCATACAATCGGAGTTTTTAGAGTCTCTTCATGTGGATTGAAATATGAAAAAGAGCTAAAGTATTTCATGAAAACACAATTACTTTTGATGAAATTAATAATAAAAAAAAAGCCTGCAAACGGTTTGGAAATGAGTTGAAACGATTTTGTGTATTAAATATCTACATAAAATGCAAATCAAGCCAAACTTAACGGGCTTTCAATTTTTTATTGTAAAATTTTTAAAGTAAAGTAGTAAATATTATTATTCAGTCTACATTGCTGAGAAATTAATGAGAAAAAAAACGTGTTAAGATATAATTTTTTAACTAAATACTGCAATTATTATCCTTCATTCTTAGAAGCCTTTAAATACAGGTATTTTTCGTTTATATTATAGCAATTAATTTTGTCGCATTTAATTTCGCGCTCCTTCTCCCATTAGTGGTATGCATCTTGATGTTTTCCAACGAATAGAAGGACCTAATGTTGGGGACCCTTGCGGGTTAGGAGCTTAAGAATTTACCCGTGGTAAGGCATGCCTGTCGTAAGAGGCGTATAAAATCCAATAGTTCCCGCGACAGTCGGGTCTTTATACCGGAACGACCCGGACTGTCACTCCCGCAACATTCCCCGAAAACCAATTCGGGGAATAATTTACGGTTACAACAACAACAACCTAATGTTGGGCCTGCGAACGGTAATTGGATTTTTATGTGGATATTTTTATTTCATGCCAGAGATAAATACAATCCGAATACCTGAAATTCCCTGTCTTACCTTTTGATTGCCTATCTTCTGCCATCTTTTGCTGAATAAAAAGTCATATTCGAAGAAGCTTTGGTTTTTAGAAGCTGAGCTCCGACTTTTTTTTTTACTCTCTATCGATCTCTCTCTTCATGATAAACCGCAAAGCAATATTTACAAAAAGAATTAAGTTTTGATAGGTAGAAAATAATAATAATTTATTATGATATTTAGTTAAAATGTTTCCTATATCTGCTATTAATTTCTTGTAAAATACTAATAAACTCTTTATTTTAGGGTATGGTGACAGCAGTATGCGATGATGGTGTATTTGTTGAAGTTGACGGGTAAGTCTATGATAAAAGCTTTCACCTGCTCATAATAATACAAAGGCAAACATTTAGTTTAAATTTAATTTAATTTTAAATTTTTTATATTTCTTATATTAGTGTTTATTTTTTTCCCCCTAATCAGAACGCATACACACATATCCAAAAATGTACACAAATTTGGCTCGAATAACATAAACTTCACATGCAGTACAATTTCGACAATATATACATATATACATACCTACATATGTACATGCCACCTAAACCCAAAACATGTCAACGCATCTCCCATCGAAACGTGTCAGAATGTGGCATATAACAAGACAAGAATAGAAGTTTTATTTTTAGTTGTTAATAGACGCACTTTTTTTTTATTTATCTCGCCTGTGCTCTATGTGATTATTGTAATTTTTGGAGACGAAGAGCGCATCGCGCGTTTTTAAAATTGTACATTTCTTTCTCGCACAGCCTATAAAATGTGTGCGATATGTCGAATTCTATCAATGGTCATAGAACTGCGTTTAAAAATACATTTGTTTGAGTTTTTTTTACCACCTATGCAAAGTTTGAGTACCACAGATGTCAATGACGCATATGAGCCATTACGACTTGACCTATTTTGACGATTGCTCCTACAATAGTGTTATAATTTCTATTTTATTTTTAAAATTTACCTCCTTAGTGAAAGAAAGTGTGTTATGCACGCTCGATATATGAGAAATGAAATATTTCCGGATAAAATTGGATGTTGTTGTTAGTTGTTGTTAGTTGTTGTTAGTAGCGCTTACGTCCAAATTGCCGTGCGCCACCCACCGCTGTAGCATCACTTAATGGCAATGGCGCGTATGCTGTTTGCGCATTTTGTGCTGCTTCTATTGGGTTGCTGCTGTTTGTCTCTGAGCCATGCATATAGTCGCATGCGATCATTTTGTTGGCATACGGCCAAGAGTCGCTAAAAAGATATATTGCCCACTTCTTATACGTTACGTTTCTTCTTTTACTATTTCACTGTTGGCGATGTTGTTCTATGCTTATTGGTGGCACATGTTGGTCGGTCACCACATTCCTCTGCACTGTCACCGCTTACGCGCCGCGCCGTATTTTCTATTATTATTGTAATTTTATTTTTTTTCTTCTTTGCTTTTGGCAGCGCTGTCCGCGCAAAGTGGCAAGCAACTATCAATGTATATTAATTTCGAAACGATACAAACACCTGTCCAAAACTTATAATTCATTTGGACGCAATTGCTTAGATTTGATGAAGACGCATATGAACTTTGTTTTGTGTTGTGTTGTTGTTATTGGTGTTGTTTGTAAATAGTTTTGCAGCTGACTGCTGTAGACACACTCACCATATGTATGTATGTAGTTTCCTCAAAAATCATTTTTCATTTATTATATATTTAAAAATCAGCTCACTAATTGCCTTTGGCTGTCAATTATCGCTTATATATTTTTGTTGTTTTTTTACACTTTTTAAAGTATACAGTTAAAAGTATGTTTTATTCCATGTTCAACTTTTTATTTTTTTAATTTGTAACTCACTTCCGTGCGACCTGACCATTTTGGTTATATTCACAGCAGCCCCGAGGTACAAAAATATCCCTTCTCAAATGTGCGCTTCCCGCCAGAAGAAAACGATAATCCACCCGCCTTTGAAGAAGGCATGGAAGTTGAAGTGTTCACCCGTTCAACAGAACGCGAGTCCTGTGGCTGGTGGATTGCTTCCATTAAAATGATTAAGGCTGAGATCTGTGCTGTTGCGTATATTGGATTTGAGTCGCCGTATACGGAAATCTGCGAATTGAAGCGTTTGCGCCTCAAAAATCAAAATCCGCCATTGACGCCCAAGTCATTTTATCAGTTCTCGATACCCGTTCCCGAGGAATTGCGACAGGAGTGAGTCATATTGTTGCTGTTGTTATCGTTCATTATTCTCATACATTAGCTAATAAATATCGTAATTTGTTCTCTTTTGTATATGTATTTTATTTTTCTCTCTCATCATCTACACGAACAGAGCGCAAAAGGATGGCATACACAAGGAATTTCAGCGTACAATAGGTGCTGGCGTGTGTGTGTACAATCGTGACTTGGATAGTCTAATTGTGATTTCGAAATGGGAATACACTCAGAAACGTGCGAGCATGCTGAAGGATATGCATTTTCGTAACTTGGCACAGAAGGTCTTTATCAACGTCCCTTTTGTCTTTTGTTGTCGTTTTTTTTTTTTTTTTTTTTAAAATTTCGAACAAGTACAAATCATATGTTTATTTTTTCCAGGTTATGTTGCTGAAAAGGACTGAGGAAGCAGCGCGTCAGCTGGAATCGACAAAACTGCTTAACCGTGGGTGAGTTTAAAAGAAGCTTAAAATATGTACATGTGTGTGGGTTTATCTTGCGAGAAGGTTGTATCGAACGAATGTTGTATATACTAATCTGAAGTTCTAAAGTGTGTGAAGCTAATATTTTATAACTTCTGATTAATTAATAGATAATTCTTATAACTCGAATATAAAATTGTTTAATTCTTGGCTTAGGCTTGTAATGACTAAGTGACTAATGTCATTCATTAGGTACTCATTGATTTGTGCTTGGACGGGTTCGGACCAGAAGGAGAGGGAGCTCTTTAATTTACATACAAAAGTACAATATGTGGACAACATTAGATGAAAATTTGAATGAAAAATAGTATACATTAAGGCGTTGGCAGTGTCGTGAAGTAGACCGCCCACAAGAAAATGCTTTTTATCTGAAATCAAAAATCCAAATTTTTTCTTAAAGTAGGTGAATTTTCCTTGTCCCTGAACGAAGAAAATTTAAAAAAATTAAAATATAGCCACATATTGGCTTGTAAAATGAGTTGAAATCAAAGATAAAATAAATCCTTCGTTCGTCCTTAAAAGAAGTGTGAAAAACTTAAACTCGGTCGCTTTTGACTACCGATTTCGATAAAGTGGTTTTAAGAAAAAGCGTTTAAAGTCAACGCGTTCGGTCAAGCCATGACAAAGACGGCGGGTTATAAAACTCTTTATTTTCTACAGTTTCGTTTCGATGCTTGAAACTTGGGGAAAATATGCCTGACACTTAATATTGATGAGTGCATAAGTTCGTGCCCGATTCCGCTGGATGCCGTTCGAATCATTTGAGAGTGGCGCTCGTCAAAGAAATATATAAATATTATATATCGTTGGAAAGGTGACAGTCCGAACTGTAAATCAAGCATAAAATAACTTCATTTTGATTTGAGTTGCTTAGTGAAAAGACGCATGGAAGATGGACAACGAAAAAGATCATATGCGTCATATTATGTTATACGAATTCCGCAAAGGAAAAACAGTAGGCGCTGCAACTAAAGATATTCGCGAAGTTTATTTGGACCGTGCTCCAGCACTCCGCACAGTAAAGAAATGGTTCGCGAAATTTCGTTCTGGAGATTTTAACCTCGAAGATCAACCTCGCAGTGGACGGCCTTCTGAGCTTGATGACGATGTTCTAAGGACTTTAGTTGCGAATAACTCACGTATTTCGACGGAAGAGGTTGCCAGTGAATTGAACGTCAACAAATCAACTGCGTTTCGTCGTTTAAAAAAGGTTGGGTACACTTTGAAGCTCGATACATGGGTGCCACATCAGTTGAGTGAAAAAAACAAAGTGGACCGTATGTCAACAGCAATTTCTTTGCTTCGACGGATCAAAAACGAACCTTTTTTGGATCGGCTCGTGACTGGTGATGAAAAATGGATCCTGTACAACAATGTTCAACGCAAAAGAACATGGAAACAGGCACACGAAGGGGCGGAACCGATGTCGAAAGGTGGATTGCATCCGATGAAGGTACTGCTGTGCATTTGGTGGGATATCCGAGGCGTGATCTATTTTGAGCTCTTGCCAGCTGGAGAAACGATCACTGCCAACAAGTATTGTCAGCAATTGGTCGAATTGAAGAAAGCAATTGATGAAAAACGTCCGATTTTGGCCAATCGCAAAGGAGTTCTTTTCCATCATGACAACGCCAGGCCACATGTTGCAAAACCGACCCTGGCCAAACTGAAGGAGATGAATTGGGAAATCATGCCGCATCCCCCATATTCACCCGACATTGCACCTTCTGATTATCATTTGTTTCCATCGCTGCAGAACAATTTGAATGGAAAAAAATTTAAAAATGTGGAAGACGTCAAAAACCACCTTGACACCTTTTTCAACGAGAAACCCCGCGATTTCTATGAATCAGGCATCCGTAAATTGATTGAACGTTGGGAGTGGATTGCCGAACATGATGGCGAATACATAATTGATTAATAAAAGCGCTTTCTTCAAAAAATTTCAATTTTAGTTTGCACTTGAAAACGGGCACGAACTTATGCACTCATCCATTACTCTTATACAAAAAATGATCAAAAAAATGAATTTTTCGAAGTTTCAAGACCTATGTAATCCCTTAATATAATTCCTTCTTCTTACCATGCTTGATAACTTTCCCTTTCGAGCTTCGATATAGCTGTTATATGATATAAATATAACTACTTGTAGGCATGAAATAGAGTCCGATAGGTTTAGATAAATTTTCTTTTAATATAACATTAAATTATTTGCAGTAAACTACGAAAAAATGATACACCTTTTAAAAAATCGAAATACATTTATCTTCTTTCCAATTTTAACTTAATATATAATAATTGCATTTAGATAATAAAATTGAGCTGGAGAGTCGAGAAGGAGATTTATTGTCTGGGATTTCTGTATCGCTACGTTAACCAGTATACCAATCCGACGCCGGGAGAAGACCCTTAGAAATTTGGTCTTTAACGCTTCAATGTCTGTTTTTGTATATCTTCGATAGAAATTTTTCACAAGTGATGTACATTTTGTCATATTATGATGGCTTATTTGCCAGAATTGCACAGTTTTCAAGCAAATTCTATATGCAAATGACAACCACACTGTATTATTTTTCCAAAAGGAACGTTTTCTATCCAATAGGTCAGCTGCACACTTCAACCGTTTTAGTAGGAGGGTTTTGCAATGCGTTGCTTTATAAATTTTGTACACGCAGATACTGAGCGGAGAACATGTTTTTAAGTAATAAACTGAATGCTAACGCCACAAGGATTCAGAAATACGAACTAATGCACTAATGCTCAGGTTTTATACATAACATTCATGTAAGAGAGACTTTAAGTAACAACAATTTTTCTCTTTGCAATCACATTATATGAAAATGGCGTAAGAAGTTTTTAATTTTTTACTTCATTCTACTATTTTAGGTACCTAGTTATGATACCACCATGGGAAAAATTGTCCGTTTTATAAGTAAAGATAAAAATAAGAGAATAGCCGAATTGTTTATACCTTTATGTGGCGGATAGGTGCTGTTTTTTCGTACATACAAGCTTTGAGATGTTTTTTTTTAACGAATTCTCGACCCAAAACATCCTTATCTGAACAAATTGATTGTATGGAAGTTAAATGATATATTACTCCGATTTCGATAATTTTCTTAACCAGTGTGTGTAAGAATAAAGAAAAAGAAACTATACTTTACGCTCTCAGATGCTGTTTTGATAAATTTATAACATAAAATCTTAAAAATTGGGGTTATATACATATATGATAGAGTGGTCTGATCTGGCCGGTTGAAATATTTAAAACAGGCGGACAGGACAGACAGACATGGCTAAATCAACTCAACTCGTCATTCTGACCTGTACGGTATAAATTTTGATGGCTCTATCTTTTCTCATTTTGGTGCTTCCACACTTTGGACTAGAGTTAATATTCTAAAAATTCAAAAATCTTAAATATTTTGGTAATTTTTACACAATCGCATATGAAAATTATTGCCAGGAAAGCGTTTCATGAGATTACTGGCTCGTGTTGCTGTTAATTGCTCTATTGTTTCGTTTTTCTCGGTGGCTACTTTAACTATATTTTCAAGTTTTCATAAGCAAAAAAGTAGATATTTTAATTATGTATTTGTGATACTACAACAACCTTTGCCAGAGTCAGGTATTCAGACAATTTAGATGTTACATTTTTCACGATGCTCTCAGCTTCTCCGGCCTTATGCAAGTGATCACCTATGATTGGAAGAAGCTTTAACAATTCTTGAACTTGAGAGCTGAATGTTCGTAAGCGTATAGTTTTGATATGCGGACGAGCACATAACCGCTGACGGTCAGATCCTCAACATCCCCTTTCAATCAACCAACTAACCGACTATATGTGTATATGCAGAGGCACCTCGAAAGCAACTGTGGTTATTTCGACGAAAATTTCTTGTATAACAAACTGCCCGCGTTTTATACTGAGACAAAAAATTTATATTTGTTGTTTTTCTTTGCAAAATAAACCATTTTCATGCCGACGTTTCGCCAATTTTGCTTACTCGTTTCGTTATCCTTACAGAGACTCAATTGTTCTGAACGCAATAATGAAATAAAATGATTAATTTTCCCAGTTTAGTGATCAATAATGCATACGAAATGAATTTATCTATAAGAATAAATGAATATGAAAGAATAAATCTTGATTTTCTTCTCCCAACAGCTATACCGATGAATTCCAAGTGCGTGAAGACTTGATGGGCTTGGCCATAGGTTCACACGGTGCCAATATACAAGCAGCTCGCCTCTTGGAGGGTGTTACAAATATCGAATTGGAAGAAAAATCGTGCACCTTCAAAATCACCGGCGAATCAGAGGACGCTGTGCAGCGCGCCCGTGCCATGCTGGAATATGCCGAGGAATTCTTTCAGGTTCCCAGAGAGCTGGTGGGTAAGGTAATTGGCAAGAATGGTCGAATTATACAGGAAATCGTTGATAAGAGTGGAGTCTTTCGAATTAAGGTATGCGATAAATTTACATAAATATATGCATGTTTCGTTTAATTGTTCAATATTTGAAAATTGCATGCGTCGGAATTCGTACAGATCGCAGGCGATGATGAACAAGATCAGAATATACCACGTGAGCATGGTCATGTACCGTTTGTGTTCATTGGCACCGTTGAAAGTATTTCGAACGCCAAAGTTTTGCTGGAATACCATTTGGGCCACTTGAAGGTTTGTTTTCTGCAATTTACATATGTCTTTTCTTTTTAATTTTATTTATTGTGTTTCTGTAGGAGGTGGAGCTGCTGCGTCAGGAAAAATTGGAAATCGATCAACAACTGCGCGCAATACAAGAGTCCACAATGGGTTCTATGCAAAACTTCCCCGTCACACGACGATCCGAAAGAGGTTACAGCAGTGACATCGAATCGGTACGTTCCGGTCGTGGTGGACCGCGCGGACGTGGTAGAGGACGAGGCGGTGGCAATGGCGGCAATCAGCGTTACCATCAAGGTATTTTGAAACAAATTTGTGTGGCATTAAGAATGTAAAGTTCAACAACAATGTTTGTGCTTATGTACAGGTCGTCGGGACGATGATGATTATAACTCCCGCGGTGATCATCGTTATAACGATCGCAGCGGCGGCGGTGGCGGAGGTGGTTATCGTGGCGGAAATGATCGACGCGGTGGCGGTGGTAAGCAAAATGGTAACATATCAAGTGTCAAGAATGCAAACTCACCTGTTTGAACTCATTTTTTTGATTATTTCTTTTATTTCCGTTTCGCATTCTGCCTGTGAATGAAATATATATGTAGGACGAAGAGAACAAAACGGCAGGGATATGGGTAGAGATCACTATCATAATCATAATGAGGATATGCGTGAGGACACACGTGAATTGAGTAGTGTAGAAAGAGGTGCGAATTGCAATTGGAAATTATTCAATAGTAGATTTTTATTTTATTTTACTGTGTTTTCTTTCTTACAGCCGAAAGTAACTCTTCATATGAGGGCAGCTCCAGAAGACGCAGAAGGCAGAAGAACAATAATGCGGCTCATAACAGTGAGTATGATGTCGCCAAATTAAAAATTTGCAAAAAGGGTAATTGCAGCAAAGTAAATTCGGTTTATACCAAAAAAAAGAAAAAAATCTTGAATTAAGATTTTTAATTAAAAATTTAAACGTCTATTTCTAGTTTCCGATTACTTTGTAACCCTCTTTGACATTAGTTGCTTACTATTGGCTTAAATCATAAATATTGATTTCAATATTGAAAAGCTCCGACCACTAACCATTATGAATTTTTGTTACAGCGAATGGTGGGGTTACCAATAACAAATCCCAACAAAACAAACAACCACAAAACGCAGATAACAATAAAAACAACAATGGCGGAGGTGGTGGTGGTGGAGCCGGCAGTTCATCGGAGCGATCGAAGCAACAGCTCGTGAACAGCAAAGACGGCAGTAATGTGGCAATTAAGGGTAACGTTGACAAACCACAACAGCAGCAACAGCAATTACAACAACAGCAGCAGCAGCAGCAACAGCAGCAACCGTTACCACCGCAACAACAGCAGCAGCCGCAACAACAACAGCAACAACAACAGCCACAACAATCGCAGCAGCAGCAGTCGCAGCAGTCGAAACCACGACGTGCTAAAAATAGAAACAATCATGCGGACTCAATACAGGGGCAGGATAATAACAAGCGGGAGACACTTGTTAACGGAACGTCCTAATGGGGGTGATGAGAAAGTGTCCGACGCATGCAATAAGGCTCCATAGCTAGAGTTATAATAACAAAAAACAACAACAACAACCACCACAGGTAGAACAGCAGCGACAGCGGCAGCAGAATATGTAGTAAAAAAAAAACAACAACAAACAACAAAACGATGAGGAATTAGGTTGCAACCTATGAACTTGAAATATTGAATGAATTGAATGAGCTAAACAAAAAAAAAAAAACTAAAAAAAAACAATTACAACACAAAAAAAATAAAATTAATGAAAAATAAAAACAATAAACAAAACACGTTACATATAAAAAAAAGAGAAAACACTACAAAAGAGGATACAGCTAGTAGAGATTTTTTTATTTAAAAAAAAATCCATATAAAAATAATTAAAAAAGAAATTATATATATTATAAATATATAAAATAGCATACTAACTCGATACAAACGAATTATACACAAACATTCACATACATAGACACATTGAAAAACAACCATTTCGGATATGCATAGAAAGCATAATTGCGCGAGTACGATACATAATTCACACTAAACAATTTAATTTCGAAGACTCACAATACCAACAAAAAAAAAAAAAAAAACACGAGGCATAGTTCGTACACACTACTGTGTAGCTGCCAAAGTCCATTAAATATATATATATATATTTTTTTTTTTTTTGTATTAAAACCTAAATTGTTTAAAATAAAATTGTTGTAAATTAAATTAAAAGGCGACAAGCAAACTTGTAGAACAAGCAAACCAAATGTAGCACACGATGCGCAAGGGAATTCGATTAAAAATTTTTCATTTTCAACAATGTGTCTGAATTTTGTATACAATTCGTGCAATACCTATGTACTCGTATATGTATAAACTGTGCAACTTCTGAATTTATCAACGCAACTCGACTTACTGACGTTCAAAAGCAGCAAAACTTCACTCATTGCACATCATCTGTACACATCTCGTTGTGTATGTGTCACCTGCACATCCCTTTCACCTTCGAATATTACTTTTCTCCATTATGAAACGTCATTCGCTGTCATTTCCCTAACTATCATACGTACTTGTACTTTTTTACCAACGCAAATTTCGCTGTTTCGCTCTCTCTCATCATTACGTGTATAATTCGTTGTATAATACAATAATAAAAAAAGCAGCAAAATGCATATATGTATATTCTTTCTTTAATTCTTTAAAATTAGCATGTTTTCGAAATTCGACTTAAAATAATAGAAAATCGTACATATTTATCTATATTTTCGAACTGTAGCTGTCAGGTTGCAAAGTATATAATATGCAAAAAAAAAAAAAAAAACTGAAAACAACAACAACATGTTAGTATCGCTTAAAAGTGGCGGACCAAACGACACACTGACTTGCACACCAATGCAAATACATACATACAATAAGTAAATCATGCCCACCATGCCGCAATTTCAACAAAACATAAAAAAAGAAATGAAATAAAAAGTAAAAATGTGTGCAACTGTGTAAAAGAAAATCATTAAAAAAAAAAGAGAAATGAATGCAATAGTAATGTAATGAAGGCAAATCAAAGCATAAAACAAGTAAAAAAAAAAAAACAAAAAAACATACGTCCATTTGTTTATTGCCTATTTGTGTTTTTTTTGTTTTTAATGAGCTTGAAAAGATCATCAAGAGCAACAACAATAAGAACAACATGAGCAACAGGGCAAGAATGCTAACAACAACGTGAAATTTATTTACAACTTTGTAACAATAACAACACTTATGATTTTTTATTATATTTTTTTCATTTTAATTTTATTATTTTTTTTTTTTGCATTTCACAACCAGTGCGTCGTATACTAACTTAATATTTAATTAAATACTCTTAAATTATTTAAAAGGAATAAATGAGAAAAAAAAAACAATTTATCAAAAGCCAAGTCAAATATTACTACTACTACTACTCCTATGAGCTGCTATCGAATGTATTTATATGTATATATGTATGTGTTGAAACAGATGTTGCACGATGCAAGAAATTAGGATATATTCGGAACCACACACCCATGCAAGCACTCGTCCAGCAGCGCATGCGCAGACCCAACCGTGTGTATGTTTGTGTGTTGATTAGAGGGAGAATACCTTAAAAGAAATAATTAAAGTATTTAGTGCTAAATAGTTATACATTTACTGCTTTGGCGTTCGGCCCACAACAAAATCCTTAAACGCAAAAGTATGGTGCGAAACACCAGGTATGGTGGGTGGGTGGGAGTGCAAGTAAGCAAGCTTCGTTTTGCAAAATTTGAACTAAAATGTCAGCTATATGTATTTATAAGGAAAAAGCAAACAAAGTGTAATACGAACGAAACAAAAAAAAAAAAAACAAAAAAAAAAACAAGAAAGAAAGCAAAATTTATATAAAAATCGAAAAACAATAAAGAAATCAATTTAAAAAAAGAAAAAATGAAGGAGTAAAAAAAAAAAAAAAAAAAAATATTTGTCAATTTACGTTTCACAAAACCGTGTATTAAGTTGACCTCTTTTGATTAGGCCGAGTTAGGTAATATTTTTAAAGCGCATACGATGCCGACACGTCGAGGGTTTTAGTTACGTAGATAGTAATAGGTGAGGGGGCAGCAGCGAAAGCTTGTAAGCGGAACACCATACGTTTCCAGCAACTTCATACAGCTTTTGTGTTTGGATTTTATCTCTTTCGGTGGTAAATAGGCGTATAATCTCCACTGCAGTGACAGGAAAAAATATCTGTTGAGTCAACGGAAATGTTTTAGGCGCTTTTTATTGCTTGGCAACAGGTTGACTACGTTTGTATGTATATAATTTTTTTTTGTTATTATGTATGATTTTAAAATTCATTTTTATGGAATAAGTAGCAGCCATGTTGCTAAAATTAAGTTAGTTCCGCTTCAATTTTTTTTTTGCTAGATTTATTCGTTTTATGAACTTATGAATTTTTAAAGTTTTTTTTTTTTGTCATTTGTAGTAAATTGAATTAAACGCAATGTAAAAGAATTAAAAAAAAATTTATTGTAAAAAAGGTAAGAAAAGTAAAACATACTGACCAATAATGATAAAACGTTGCGGTTTATTTGCTAAAATCGAATGGAAATTATTTTCAGTGGTTTTTTTCGATTTTTTTTTTATGAAAATATATATTAAATATTTTAAAAGTAGAGAAAATAAAATATATTGTCATCAATTTTGCGTTCATTTTATGTTGCGTGAAACTACCTTCTTTTTTTCTTTTTTTTTTTTGCATTGCAAAACATTATGAATTGAAATTCCTCGAGATTTGATTTTCATAAATAAAATTCGCGGAGCTTTACTTTATTTTACTTTTTTCTACTTTATTGCCACATGGAATCTGGCAAGGAAAATAAAAAAAATTAATTTTAATAATTTTAATAAATTTTTTTTATTAAGCTTGCGTTGTGTTGTGTATTCAATATTTATATTTTTTTTATATCAAACAATCGAAGTCAAAAGCCAGAGGAAAAAATATTTTATTTTATTTTTTTTTTGTTGTGCTGGTGTTATGACTTGTTAAGAGAATTGAAGAAAATACTGAAAAAAAATTATTTTTTGAAATACCAAAAAAAAAAATTTACTTTGAAATTTTCAAGAAATTTTTTTTATTTTCTTTTTTGATATATATTGCTTAGATCTTGATACAAAAAGTAAAGTAGTTTCACTCCATATAAAAATGACAGAAAATAATTTTTTGACATTGTAACTTAAATTCATTTTAACTTCAAGATATTGCCGCTTTAAATATTTATAAATATTTTTATAAAAAAATTCTAATTTTAATTCTTGAAAATTTTTTTTTTTTTTTGAAAATACAATGCAAAGCCTTCGAGTTTATAGCGTACGTTTTATTTTCTTTATTTTTTTTTGTTTATATTGAAAGTTTTGCATTTTTTGTAATTTATTAATTTTTTTTTAATTTACTGAGTTGAAAATTTATTTTTTAAAAAATTAAATTGGTAGCACAAAAATAAAGCTAAAGTCACAAAATCGTTTTAATGTCAGATGGTTCATATTTTTGGAAAAAATTTTGAGTGAAACTACCTTGTTTTTGTATGATGGTTTCCATAATATTCTATGTATTTCCATCCTTAGCAAATTGTTGCAATTTGAAAAACTCCAACCCCCCTAAATGAGCATTCAACACTATTCAGTTTTTTTCTAAAATGCAGTTTTTCAAAATTTAGGAAACAACTGATGCGAAGTTTGAACTCCACGTTAACCAATTTAGGGAATATTGTTGTTGTAACCGCAAAACAACAAATATAAGCTCGAATTTTTCTATTTTCTTTTTATTCAAAAAAAAAAAATGTAATTTTTTATTTTTTTTAGTAACAAAAGGAAATCCTGAATCGTGAAAGAATTGAAAAAAAAAATTAAAAAAATGCTGAATATGGTCGGTTGCATTTTCGAATATATGTATGTATGTAAGTCAGGCATGTTTTAGGTTTCACATGATTCAAATAAATGTCGTGCAAACCATTTCATAAATGGCAAAATTAATTAAAAAACAAAGGGAATTTGCGGTTTTTTTCATGCTCTCATTTTGTAAAAAAAAAAAATTACGAAAAAGTGCAAATTATTTCTATAGACTTATGTTATGCATATACATACATATGCAGTGTAAATTGGATCATTATCTTTTGACAAAAGGAACTGCATACAAAAATACCGCAAAATTCAGACGAATTCGTATAAACACATAACCTGCCTTTATTATTTATTAAGCCAGCTTCGTGGCCTCCAACATATAAAATACCGTAATAATTTAAAGTATGCTTCAAGGCGCATAAAATAATTATTCATCGTTCGGTATGACGCCTGAAGGCGGTTATTTCAGCAGCTGTGTTGTTCAAAATAAAAAAACGTAGTAAGATTGATTATGCCTGAACTTGGTCTCCTGTCCTTAATTCGAAAAAAAATATGCAAGTCTCAACATATGTTGAATATAAAAAAAAAATTATAATTAATGTAAATGTGCAGGGATATAAAAATTATACATGATTTTTATTTTGTAAAAAATTAAATAATGCGCCTTAAAGTATGCAATATTCACTTTTGAAGGAATTTTGAGAATACTTAAAACTCTTGCACTCATACTTCTCTAAGGTATTTAAAAAAATAAAAAGCATTAAATTTATTTAGAAGCTTAATTGCTTTAAATTCATTACAACAGTTCGTTTTATCAGCAAATGGTACATACATACGTAAATATGCATTTACATATAATAGGGCGCATATGAGCTATCTTATTAACTTTGAAGAAAAATATTTATTTAATTTCACTTCTAATAACAAAGAATTAATTTTGCATGAAATTATTTGAAATAAATTAATTTAATATAAAAACGATTTTTGCCAGCAAAAGCCAAGTAGTGAGCCAGTGTTTTTAGTGAAAAAAATTTAACGTTTTTATTTTTTTATTTTACTTTTATGTCCAAAGCCACTGTCGAACTCATGACACAAAAAATAAGCTAATTTCCAGGTAATAAATGATAAGGTAATTTCGGAGTGTCTGCCAGATTTTTATTTTTTTTTATTTTGTGCTACCAATTGCATTTTTCAAAAAATAAATTTTCAATTTTCTAAAGTTAAAAAATTTTCATAATAAAAATGCAAATAAAAAAATAAGAAAAGTAAGACATATTCTCAAAAAAAAAATTCAAATGCGGTGCATATTATTTTCTGAAATTTGTTGGAAAAATAAGTATTTTCAAGCGGTAATTTCATAGTTTACGAAAAAATATATGAAATATTTTCAAAAATGTCTTGAATTTAAAATGAAAATAAGATTCGTAAATAGTGAAAAAAAAGTTTTAGTATTAATTTTATATTGAGTGAAACTACCTTCCTTTTTTTGTATCATAAATAAACTTATTTTCTGCAAATATTGTATTGTATTTTGCGAAATGAAAAAAAAGAAAGAAAAAAAAACAGCATTGAATGAGTCCAAATGAGTTTCTTGCGATAAAATCGCTGTGCTGAAGGCATTTTTTAATTTTTAAAGATTTCAATTTTTTTTTCTCTGTAAAAACGGTATACCAAGGTTTGCTAGAGATTGCAAGTTTGCACAGTTGCACATAACACAATTGATTTGCGGTAAAATACGACATTCATACATACACACATTTCGATATTACACGTGTATAAGGTTGTTTGTGTACGTTAAAGAAGTAATAGATTTGTATAATATTTTCTAATTTTATTTATTTAATATTTTAGTTTCGAACATTTATAAAAGGTGAAATTGATTTTATTTAAATAAAATTAATTAATTTTGAAAATTAAATGTTCTTTGTAAAAACAA